ACTCTGCTTAGCTTTTGGAAGGCATCTTTGGTTATCCCAATACGCCTTTGGATTTCAGTTTCACACTCTCCCTTGTTAAGACATTTCCCAGATATTTAAATTTCCGTACTTGTTTGTTTCTGGTATCACCGATTTGCAATTCGCACTTTGTGTTCATTCTTTTTCTAACAACCATACAAGTCTGTCTTCTTGCAATGGATTTTAATCCTTTCATCTCACTACCTTCTGTAGGAGTTTTTGTAGTTTTATTTCTGTGTCTGCTATCAGCATTCTGTCATCTGCATATCTTACGCTGTTCAGATTGTGGCCGCTAATAATAAATCCTGGTAGGACTTCTAGTTCACTCAGAATCGCCTCGCTCTATAGGATGAATAAGCCCAGTAAGAATACACACCTTTGCCTTACACACCCTTTCTATTTTTGTATATCTGCTGAACTCATTTTCTATCTGTATGCAGGCCGTTTGCTGCCAGTATAGGTTCTTAATTATCATAATATCCTTCTCAAATATATCATGGTTGTTGAGCAGTACCAGTACTAGCAAGGGAAATAAGATTTAAAAATACTTTATGCTAATGTCCTTTCTTTCTTAGAGGCTGCTATAGGTTACTTATTTCTATGCTAGATCTACTGAGGAGTTTATTAGAACCTAACATGTAGGTTTATTCATTCAATTACCTTATCTTCCAGTGTTATTCTGATATCTTTGCACGGAGATTGGTAGCCCCCTACTTTTCCCTTGAGCATGTGTGGAGAGAAAAGCTACATCACAATAAATTAAATAGATACGATTATTTGATATGAGTTATCGCCCCTAAGCCTGGACAGCAGAATGCGAACACTCTACCTCGGAAATTGAATAAAGTGTTATATTCTCGGACCGACCAAGTAGGGATTTTCAAAAATAATCTGATGCTTGACCACTTGGTTAGATTTTGGGTCAGTAAATTTTCAGCACCACCTCCTAACCCGTATGATGAAAAGTGTGATTTGTACTATGTCTTTGTTTCGTTATCCCACCAGGGCGTAATGGCTGATATCTTGGTTTCACTAAGTAATGAGAAAATCCGTTGTCATGTGAACAGAAAGATATGGTCAGCGCTATTGGAAGCAATCAAGCATTCCGTTGCCATAACAACGGAATTTTTTTTAATTATTAGATGATACTAAGATATATGAATATGTCTATGAATTTTTCAAGAGTAAGGCCTTATACGTGTTTAATACACACTTTAAAATAAAAATAAAAATGGGGCGTCTATTTCAAATACGAATATTCCCTATAATAACTGTCGTAAAGGAAGAAAATGAGTAACTACCGACACTGAGGTTCGAGCGTAATACTCTAGACTTATGAATATATGTTTTCCAACAGGTGTATAAATAGCGGTGTCAGGCTACTGATTGGAGTGACTGCTGAGTGGAACTATCCAGTCGAATTATAGTGAATTATTGTGCGTCGATGATCAGGGTTTTGATTTAGGATTTACCGGACGCACTACTAACAAGGTATTCACTGAAATGGTTAATTATCTTTGGTTGACTTTTAATTCTTTGTTCTTGTTAAATATTTATTTACGGTTGTAATTAAATACTGTTTTATTTTAACATTGAAGTCTTGAGTTATGCTTAATTATTAACGGCCACCGTATGTCACAAAAATAACGTTTGAAGCAATAAAAATTTTGTATTAAAAATAAATCCTTTAATTCTTCAGAAATTACTTTGTTTACGTTTCGAAACTGAGCAGATATGAACTTTTCAGAAAAGTAATTTGAATGAAGAAATATGCTTTCTTTAAAAGGGGAAAACAGAGCCTTGCTGAACTGAGGAGCTGATGTAATGGTTAACAAGTTTGTCTCGCTAGATTAATTATGGTTGAGTAGTGAGTTCGATCCTCACTGGGTTCCCCGCATTTTCGGGCTTGTGCCACGTCTAAATTATGCTTAGTAGATCATTTGGGGGCATTTCAGCGTAGTGTAATGGTTAGCAAGCTTGTCTTGCTAGATCAATTACGACTGAGTAGTGAGTTCGATCCTCACTGAGTGTCCCACATTTTCGGCCTTGTGTCACATCTAAGCTTAGAAAATCACCATAAAAATCACTCACCAAACATAAAAATACTAATTTAGCGATGTGAGTCGGGTTGAAAACTTTTCAACCCACTTCGTATTTAATTCTGATTGGAACAGTTCATTTAGCGAGGGGGTAACACCTATCAGGTAGAAAGGTCTGTAAAATAAGAATTTTGATACATCTAAATGTGAATTGGGATCAAATACAGATCAAATATGAATCGGAATCCGACTGTATGATAGCATTAGGAACAAAGAGGAAACGTTCGTCAATCTGACACCTTTCACTTTTTATTTAAGCTTAATATGAATCTTTAATCACACATAAATATGTATATCTGGTCACTTGTATTCGAGGAAACCCGTCTATTAGGACGGCTGGCCAATCCCTATTGCAGCTTTATTCAACACCCACAGTGACCATCTGTGGTTTATACTGCAACTATACTGAGAAGATCTTTGATACAGTTTCTGGGAAAGAGCGTGTTATCTAGCGTGATCAACAATTTGAACAAGGCCAGCACTCAATCCCTCGGTCACGATGACTTGTGACTTCGTGCTAGCACAGCTATCAACGACCCTCAAGGGTTTGTCTAGCGGGGTCGATCCCAGCATGCCTAAAATCCATATAAACGGGTTGACCCAAACCTTGTGACATAAATTTATAACAGCAATATTAACAATATGGTGGAGTCAGCGATGGTCTTTCGGTTTCTTACACGAAATAAATTATTTTGCTAGGCATTAATAAATAGGAACACTTTTTCTTAAAGGGTACCTCGCTGGTAATATGGAATTTGTCATATCTGAGTACCTTCAGCTATCACCCCTAGCCAATTTCAGACAAACGTATTTAAAACAATATATATCTGTTAATAATTTCAATTTAACCATCTAACCTCCTGATGAGTCGATTAAATGTAGAAAATTTAAGAGCAGGAAGATAAGTTTTCGAAATTTTCATTTTATTTTTTTATTACACATACGATTTTGGTATGTTAAGCTGAGGATTTTTACACAACCTATCGAATATTGTATATTTCATAAAAGGCACAGATACTACACTGATCCTAAGTAGAATTTCATCCTGTGCATATACCATATATACTGTGATCCGAGGCAGAAATGTTCGAAGTCAAGTCGGGTTCGTTACTTTCACTTATACTAAAAAACACACTTGGGGGGAAGATATGAATCCATAGCTACGTCTAACCCCTCCTGTTCTGGGTCAAATAATAGTAATTGTACCTGGAAAACTCATTGTTGTCTCTCAAAAAGTGTAAAAGCAATATTCAATCCTTACAAAAAATTATTACAGCCAAAAGAATATCTTTCCGCTTTGAATAAATGAAAAATGGTTGACAAACCGTAGAAAAAAATTCAATTCTAAAAAAAAATAAACGGATACTCAAGTCTATAAAGGACCATACACTCATAGATTTAGATTGTTTTGCAAGGATATTTAAAGATGTAGATTGTTTTTACGGTTAATTAAAGATTTAGATTGTTTTTAAACGTTATTTAAAAATTTAGATTGATTTTAAGGGTTATTTAAAGATTTATATTGTTGTTAAGGGTTATTTAAAGATTTAGATTGTTTTTAAGGTTTTTTAAAGATTTAGATTGTTTTTAAGGGTTTTTTTTTTAAAGATTTAGATTATTTTCAAGGTTTTTTTTAAACATTTAGATTGTTTTTAAAGGTCATTTAAAGATTTAGATAGATTTCAAGGGTTATTTAAATATTTAGATTGTTTTTAAGAGTATTTTTTAAATATTTAGATTGCTTTTAAGGTTTTTTTTTTAAAGATTTAGATTGTTTTTAAGGGTTATTTAAAGATTTATATTGTTTTAAGGATTGTTTTGTTTTTAAGATTTAGATATGTTTTGAGGGTTATTTAAAGATTTAGATTCCTTTTTAGGGTTATTTAAAGATTTAGATTGCTTTTAAGGGTTATTTAATGATTTAGATAGATTTTAAGGGTTATTTAAAGATTTAGATTGTTTTAAGGGTTGTTTTGTTTTTAAGATTTAGATATGTTTTGAGGGTTATTTAAAGATTTAGATTCCTTTTTAGGGTTATTTAAAGATTTAGATTGCTTTTAAGGGTTATTTAATGATTTAGATAGATTTTAAGGGTTATTTAAAGATTTAGATTGTTTTTAAGGTTTTCTTAAAGATTTAGATTGTTTTTAAAGGTTATTCAAAGATTTAGATAGATTTCGAGGGTTATTTAAATATTTATATTGTTTTTAAGAGTTTTTTTTAAATATTTAGATTGTTTTTAAGGTTATTTAAAGATCTATATTGTTTTAAGGGTTGTTATTTTTTTTAAGATTTAGATATGTTTTAAGGATTATTTAAAAATCTATATTGTTTTTATGGGTTATTTAAAGCCAGAAAATTTATTTAATTTTATTAATTTATTTATTTTATTTTATTTTTTTTTGATTGCAAGAATTTCTTTTCGAGGGAATATTGCATTAACAATTTTTCGGAGATAACAATGATTTTTCCATTCCTGCTATTTAATCTATAGCTGGGGACAGAATAATGTGTTCATACCTACCCTAAGGGTATTTGCTCGTAAGTGGAATGCAACGCTCTCGAAGAGTGATGGTATGTACCCAGGTATAAAAATACACATAATTTCCTACCATCATCTTTCTCTATTTTTTTCTTTCTTCCATTCTATCTCTTTTATCTTTCTTTCACCCGTTCTGCAGATCAATAAACTATTGACGAATACCCGCCCACGCAAGAGCCGTAGCCGGAATTAGCCGGGCTAGCTCCGCAGTGACGCAAGCAGTTCTACATCGATCAATGGTTACGAGACTTAATGGTATACGGGCCTTAATCGCGCGTACACACTCACGCCCTTTGATAGAAACGTATGGACCAATATAGCAGGCAAACACATATCGAGTCATGCGTACACGATTATATACTCTCCGGATATGCATGGATACAAAGAAACGAAATAGAAATCAACGATGCAATAATGTTCTTGGCGTTGTGTGGAATTTCTTTTCTTTTCGCTTTTTCTACGAATATTTTTATTTATTTATTTTATTTGGTCTTTCATTTCATGTCTTTTCTTTCTTTCTTTCTTTCTTTCTTTCTTTCTTTTTTTTTACTGAACGATTCGTTAATTCTTTTGCTTTCCTCTTTCACTTTTCTTTTTTTTTCCCTTCCTATTTTTCTTCCTTTTCTAATCACTATCCTTTTATTCTTTCTTTCATTATATAGCACCTCGTTTCGTTTTTTGTTCAATTATTATTTTTAATGTGTTTTTTCTACCCTATCTCCTTGTACCCTGTCTTATTGTACCCTATCTTCTTGTACCCTGTCTTATTGTACCCCATCTTCTTGTACACTATCTTCGTGTACCCCGTCTTATTGTACCCTATCTTCTTGTGCCCTGTCTTATTATAACCTATCTTCTTGTACCCTATCTTCTTGTACCTCATTATTCCGTATCCTATCATTCTTCAATTTTTTTCTCTCTTTTCTTCTTTTATTTTCTTGGTGATTTTTGATAATTCTTTTTTTTCTTTTTTTTTTTTAAAGAAAAAGAAGAGAGAAAAAAAGAGAAGGGTTTCTTTTGTCATACTGTTCTTTGTTCTTTTATCCTTTTTTTCCCTTTTCTTTTTTCCTCTTCTTTTTTTCCTCTTCTTTTTTCCTTTTCTTTATTCTTTTTCTCTTTTACCATTTCTTTTTTTTTTCTTTTTCGTTTTCTTCCTGTTCCTTGTTCCGTTTTTTCTCTTTTTGTTTTTATATTTGCGTTTTTATTATATATACGTGCTGTTTCAACCTTTTTCCCCACTTTTTTTTCTTTCACCCTATTTCGTATTTCTTCAATACCTATATACATACATACATACATACATATATATATATATATATATATATATATATATATATATATATATATATATATATATATATATGCAAATATATAGAAAAATAGGAAAGAACACGTTAGGTAAATAATTTCGCTTGAGGATGAAACAGAGCTTGATAATTTAATTCAATTTAATTTTAATAATTATATTGAAGGTTTTGGCTCCTGTTTTTGAAACATGAGAACTCTTATGTAGCGAAGGAATCATATTTTTAAAAAGAAATATAAAGGGAAGAGGTTATAGTAGTTCCAACGAGAGAGAAGTGTGTATATTAAAACGAAGAGAGAAACCGCAAACGTTTTTGGTTGTAATGTAGTTTTTTTTTAAATATATTATGCTTTATTTTCCATAATTTTTTCATTATGGAAAATAAAGCATAATATATTTTTTTTTTAAAAAAACTCCACATTACAACCAAAAACGTTTGCGGTTTCTCTCTTCTTTTTAACACACACACACACACACACACACACACACACACACACACACACACACACACACATATATGTATATATGCTATTGTTTAAAATTGGCTACCCAATCCTGAGACCATAAATATATATATATATATCAGGTGTTACAAATACAGAGCTCAATGATATACTACACAGTAGCTATTAAGTATTATTAAGTATATATTATTCGATAGCACGACTCGTAGTTTCATGCAAATCGGTAATCTTCAATATATATATATGTATATATATACCGGATGTAACAACAAAATTGTCCAATTACTAGATTAAGCTCTGAACCGTTGTATCTTAGAGATGATTAAAGATATATTACTGGAATTCTCCGATGTTTTTATAGCACCATTCGACTCTACATTAAGCAATAAGAATGTATAATTACTCTCCAAGCTTACCAGAAATACCGTGATGACATCGATCATAAACGAAAGTGACATGTTCATCATTTATTAATCATAGCTAAGGATCGGAAGCTTATGAAAGATTGAAATAAAGTTCATATATATATATATATATATATATATATATATATATATATATATTATTTCAGGATCATTTTCCAACTTATTCATGATGACCTTCGCCCTCTCTAATCTAACTTTCTCTCCTGGAGTAACAAGGTGCCTCACGTACGATTTCATTTTCAAGTCCTTTTTCACTACTCTTTGGACTGTCATAGCTGAAACTCTTCTCTTACGTGCCAAACGTGCTATGAATTGAGTTGGATCCTTTCTAATTGATCTCTTTAGCTCGAAGTTGAAATGATGATCCCTCTTCCTGTTGTGACCTCCTGATCCAGTTTTCCTCTCTACTGTTCCCTCATTTTTAAATTTATTCACCGTTCTCTGGATGGTTCTTGAATGGACTTTGAAGAGGGAAGCCAGAGTATGAATGTCGGTACCATTACAGAAGGCCTGAATGATTTTTCCTCTTACCATTGCTCAGTTGGAAAGACAGTGGGTCTGACGCAAAACAATTTTAACCTGTTCTCTTTTTAGCTGAATAACTCAAAGGGTGAATCCATGATTCTTACGAAAAAATAAATGTCAAGATGGCTAAACATCTTATTTGAAAACCTGCAAGAAAGAAACTGAATGAGCGTTTTTAGATATTAAACATTTTGTGGGATTAATTATGCTGTTACACGATTTCGAAAGTTTTTCCGTTACACCCGCTATATATATATATATATATATATATATATATATATATATATTTATGTAATGAATATGCATACACCTGGGTTCCCCCTCACAGTAGTATGACTGACTGGTGTCAGCTATAAATACAGACTGATGTCGAGGTACAAGGGGACGCCTATTCGCTACGCCTATTGTCTTCGCCTATTGCCTACGCCTATTGTCTATCACTACGACGAGGACCAGTCCATTACAGTTACTTGCTAGATTGTCCTACCCGGTTACAGTAGTGAACAACCACTTTGCTACTTCGAACAAATATATCCCTTTCTGGGACATATATATATATATATATATATATATATATATATATGTGTGTGTGTGTGTGTGTGTTATGAAATGTACAATTATTTAAATATATATTTTTTGTTTATACGTTATATTTATAGATACAAATATTTAAGTAAATGCTCTGTTTATAATAAACAGTATTAACAACATTTCCCGGCCTCAATGTCCGAGAAATTCCTGATTCCTACATAGAACTGTCATGTTGTCTGAGGTGATACACCGTTTAGCTACAGAGGACGCAAGGCTCATTTACTGCTTTTAAACTGCAAATTTCCCATGATTTCTTTAGAACGGTCATATCTGCCCGAAGCGTATCTTAACGCAAACAAATGACATAATATATTATAAAAAATGGCCTAGTCCGACAATTATTTTAATTTATTTATATTATTTACATTACATTTGATTTATTTACATTATTCACATTATTTACAGAGGAAGCGTCTGGTTAGCTTTGTAACCAGACGCTTCTTCTGTAGCTAAATAGTATAGCACGTCAGGCTATATGATGGTTCCATGTAGGAGACAGAAATTTCTTTGAGATTTCTCGGACATTCAGGTCAGAAAATGTTGTTAACATTGTTTATTATAAACAGAGCATTTGCTTAAATATTTGTATCTATAAAAATAACGTATAAACTATATATATCATCTGTGGGTATTCAAAAAAGAGATAAATCGCAAACGTTTTTGTTATAAAGTGGATTTGTTTTAGTGTATATATTATATTTTATTCTTCATATTTTACTACACGCATTTCCGGTTTCATGACCTTCTTCAGTCAAATTAAAAGAATCAATTTTTACAGGGATAAATTATCCTTATGTTCTTTTAATATTTCATTGCTTATTTTCTCTATTTGTAGTGAGCCTTGATCTCATTTTTCATATACATATATATACATACAGATAGATAGATAGATAGATAGATAGATTTAAAATTTGCGAAATTAATGTTAAATTGTGCTCAGTATCAAAGATAGAGCGTTTACATATAAAGACAATTGGTAATGGGATTAAACGCTAAATGGTGACCTCAGGTGATCTTTAGAGCACGTGTCACTATTCATTAAGCCGGCTCTTGTTATATGCTAATGAAGGATTTAAAAAGTGAAAGAAAGAAGCGGTTCGCATTTGGGGGGTGGGTGAGTTGTTTTGTGTTTTTTTTCTTCTCTTTAGAAATTATGCTTTGGGTTATTGATGACCATGACCTTTAGACGACCTTATTTTATTTTATTTTTATAAACATTTTATTTTATTTTATTTCTATAATTATTTATTATTTTATTGATTTTTATATTTCATTTATCGATTTTATTTTTAGATTTCGTATAACTTTTCTTTCGTCTTCTGGTATTTGAAATATGATTTATTAAATTTAGATTTTATTTAGTCTTTTTGATCATGATGTGGTTGTAGTTTCTTTTACAATGATGTTCACCCTGTACAATGCCCAAGAGCTACTCGAGGTAGAGGATTACAGTGTAAGTGGTACAATTTATAGATAATATTTGACTCTAGATTTGAACAGTTTAAGATTGTGATTAGTGATAGGGGAAGCCTCCTCTTGGGAGTAGGCTCCACAAGGAGCTGTTCATGAGAAGATGCTACTCGAGTGGTGCATACCATCTCACCAATGGAATGCGAAGGTAATGAAGGTGGTACGCTACAATGATTGTGGTATGGTTGGTCCTAGCCGTGAAAGTTAGGTGGAGCTAAGAAATCGCAATTGAGCAGCAAGATAGAAATAACTAATCCCTGTTGAAGACGCTTGCTCAGGCGCGTTTGTGCTTGTTCAACATCCACAGAGCCCAAGTGTGGTTTATACTGCAACTATGCTGAGCAGACCTTAGTTACAGTTTCTGGGAAAGAGCGTGTTATCAATTTAAACAAGGCCAGCACGCTTAAGCTACAATGACTTATTACTTCATGCTAGCTCAGCTCTTAACGGCCCCCAAGGGTTCTGTCTACTCAGTTTCACTCACATGGCTTGAGTCAATCCGTGGTATGGTACTTTCCAAAATGTCGCACGCTGGTATCGACCCCTCCAGTTTGATAACATCAGGAAGTCTCCTTCCTGGCAAATCGACCATGGTGAGATTCGAACCCGAGTCTCATGGTTAGAATGCGAACGGTCTAACCCCATTGGCCATGTCCCCATAGTAAAGTGCGTAAACCATAAGAAATGGTAAAGATATATTCTGTAAGGTACTCTTCAGAGATATTCCTTGTTTACGTTTATCCCTCACATATTGCTGTTATGACATCTGAACGATTTCGAATTTCCAAAGAGACAAATAATCGGAATTGCTTTTAAAAAAAATCAATATTTGACGATTTGTGGCAGTCTCTGTGGATCTTCAGCTCTGTTAGATTTATTCAACATTTTCCACCGACTGTTGTTCCAGAAAACATCGGTGGGAAGCAAAAAGTGCTTATGAACAAAATAATTTGAAAATTTGAAAAACATAACTCCAAATAAGCCTTTTCTTATATATAAAATGATTTAAATTTTTTTTTTTTTTTTTGTGAAATCAAAAATGAAATTTGAAACGGGCCTAATGTTTTGAAAAGAGCCTAATATTTTGAAAAGGACCTAATGTTTCGAAAAGGACCTAATATTTTGAAAAGAGCCTGTTTCGAAAAGGACCTAATATTTTGAAAAGGACCTAATGTTTCGAAAAGGGCCTAATATTTTGAAAAGGGCCTAATATTTTGAAAAGGGCCTAATGTTTCGAAAAGGGCCTAATATTTTTGAAAGGGCCTAATGTTTTGAAAAGGGTCTACCGTTTTTTTCTGCATAACACTTTTTTTTTAAATTGGAATCAAAATTTTAAAATAATATTGCAAGTATATTTATTTTTTAAAGCCAAAAAATAAATTCTAAAAGGTTTAGTTTGGTTTGTTTTATTATACGGCATATCAACCTCAATGGGTTCTTTAATGCCAAAGATTTTTATTTCTGCAAATATTTTTTCCAAAAATGTATTGCTGGTAATATCTTTTTCTTCAAAAATGTATTGCTGGTAATAATTTATTTATTACTGGTACTAAAACCTATTTTTACACTTCCATAGTGTGTTTGGGCGTTAACTATTTGGCCATAGTTGGTACCCTAACAGGTGCTACCACCCCGGGTCAGGGTGGACCAGCGAATATCAGCAATTAAAAGGTGGTTCCACGCTCCTCAAAACCTCCCAATCAGAGGCCATGCTGCCGGATGTAGTTTATCGTCTTACCCAGGACGGAAATTATAAAAGGGCGTCGCTCAACATACACATTCTGACTATAATACAATTTTGTAAAAATAAAATGATCGTAACTTTGTAAAAATAAATTGTATCATTATATTGTCTATATCATTTTTATAAAGTTTAGTTTGTTCATTTCAATAATTGAACGAAAATGCGATTCAGTTTTTAAACCTTTTAGCATCTCACCGACAATACGCTGAAAAAAGATCGTGAAAAAAAGGTACCATCAAATTCGAGAAGCCAATCATTTGTCAACTATTATTTTTAAAAATTCGTCTCTGATCAGATGTAGGTACGTTGGCAATTCGACGTGGTTTAATGATTAGCAAGCTTGTTTCGCTAGATGGATTATCACTAAGTAGTGAGTTCGATCCTAACTGGATGCTCCACAATTTTTGCCTTGTATCAAATTTAAGCTACGTTTAGAAAATCACTCAGGCATTTTGACGTGGTGTTTACGGTTAGAAAGCTTATCACGCTAGTTACGACTGAATAGTGAGTTCGATCCTTCCTGGATGCTCTTTGTATCACGTCTAAGCTACACTTAGAAAATCGCAACCAGGTGAACGTAAATAGGAAATTGTGACTGTTTTATCTGGGGTGCAGAATTAATTTCAACCCGGAACTAATTTCAATTCGAAAATATTGTGCAACAAAGCCTCATATCTTGTTTTGAAACTTTATTTTTTTACATTGTAATTTGTAATAGAGTTCTCTATTTACGAGCGTGAAATCTGTGAAATCTTCAATGCCCAGATTTAAATTTCAATAAATCTGTGAAGTTTTTAAACGAAATTAAAATTTAATTTACTGATTTTCTTAAGTTTTGATCAATAATGGCTTCTTTTGAACGAGAGATTTTACAAAAAAAAAAACAGCTGAGCAATGTACTGTTCTTGCTACAAAGAATATTGCATTTTTATTGGATCAGATTTAAATGAATAAAAGCAAATAAAAAAATGCCACTTTATTCATTTGCAACAAAAAAGAATGAAAGTTGCAGAAAAGTCATGTCGACAACGTGTAACTGCAACGTGTACAAATAACGTGCAATATTTTCAAAGGCATCCAAGAATATAAGCTATAGTTGGTTTTATTAATGGTGGATTTCTTTTGTTTAAGGTAAATATCGGAGAGGATCTTTAGTCTTTTGGGGTAATTAGATTTAAGGAGTATTTTAGCATTGTAAGAGAGAGGCTATCTATCTATCTATCTATCTATCTATCTATCTATCTATTATTATTATTATTATTATTATTATTATTATTATTATTATTATTATTGTGGTTATTGCAAATGTGTTGTCTAATTACACTTTGTTCAGTTAAATGCTAAGTAAGCCTACAGGAAAGAGCAGTGATTGTGTAAGCTATATAAGGGATATTTTGTTTATTATTCAATGAGATTCAATCTAAGTTGGTTTGGTTTGTTTTGTTTTATGGCATGTCAACACAAAGGGTTATTTAATGCCAATAAAAATGAATTGCTTGTAATAATTTTTCTGGTATTCTGAATTATCTACTAAGGATTTTTAATGCTAAATGAAAAAAATTTAACACCAACTCTTTGCATTTTGTTTTGGAATTCGCGGAAATTGATAACTTTGATTTTAAACCGAGTTGAAATTAAAACCGAGTTGAAATTAGTTCTGAGTTGAAATTAATTCCGAGTTGAAATTAATTCCGAGGTGAAATTCCGAGTTGAAATTAGTTCCGAGTTGAAATTAATTCTGTCACTCTTTTATTTCATTCAAGTTAATCAGAAACACAGAGGTGGGGGGATGCTTTCAGAAATTAGCAATTTATTTTATCAATTAAATAAGGGTTCGATTCAAATTAAATTGACAGACTAAGTCAGGAGAGTCAATTGCTTTAACAAATTGAAACTCTTCAAAGAACCTATCGATCCAATTCTAGATAGTTCTGGGCAGCTTCGCGACATTTGAGCCGACATACAATATGGTGAGTTGGCCTATTAAAGGATGACTATTCTTGGTTTTCCAGTTTGAAAGTAAACGACGACGCAATTTATCAATTTAAATCAGTCCAAAGCATACCATCATTTTTTTTCAAGGCTATTTTGTCCGCGACTGAATTCCAGCCGATCTTTCATGTCTGCACCTGATCCCTCCCTTGTCCATCTCGTTGGTGAACGGAATAACACCGAAAACTTTCACATTGACTCACTCGATTCTGAAAAATCATTGACTTTTCCTACCTGTTCCATTCCCGTGCATTGGAATATTTCCAATTCAGAGTTGAAGCGACTTCAGTCCTACATTTTCATTCTCCAAGGTACATACATTTAGACTAGGAAAGATTGTAATGAGAAATGCCGAAACAAAAGTGTTCGCTAAGGAAATTGGAGCGTATAAAACGGAAACAGCGGGGAGGAACATGAAATCATCTTGGCTACCATTGCGTGTCTTGATATATTACTCCCTCCCATGTCCCTTCATTTCAACTGACGGAGCATACACGATGCTTATCGTAAGATTCGGCAGTGGCTTCCATTTGAAGATGAAATCATTTGGTTAGTTTGTTTCGTTTTGTTTTACGGCCTATCAAAACCTCAATGGGTTATTTAATGCCGACAAGATTTTTATTGCTGGTAATATTTTTTTCCAAAAATATATTGCTGCTAATACTTTTTTCTTCAAAAATGTATTGCTAGCAATATTTTTTTCTTCAATGTAATGCTGGTAATATTTTTTCTTTCCCAAAAGTATTGCTGGTAAAATTTTTCCTTCAAAAAAGTATTGCTCGTAATATTTTTTCTTCAAAAATATATTGCTAATAATCTTTTTTCTTCAAAAATTTATTGCTGGTAATAATCTCTTTACAAAAATTTACTAGTATTAAGACCTATTTTTACACTTTCATAGTGTTTTAATCCTACTTTGGGGGTTAACTATTTACCCATAGCTGGGACCCTAACAGGTGCTACAACCCCGAGGTCAGGGTGGACCTGGGAACACCAGCAATTAAGAGGTGGTTCTATGTTCCTCAAAACCTTCAGATCAGAGGCCTTGCTGTTGGACGTAGTTTATCGTCTTACCCAGGAATCGGATGAACTCGTCGTAAATACTGGAGATCATTTTTGCCAACTTCTAATCCAAAGAAGAAAATTGCTGAGAGCCCATTAAAATGAATATAATGTAAATATTTCTAAAAAAAAAAAAAAAGCCGGGTCACAAAATAGAAAAGTGGTTGAAGTCGAGATGCCAGGTTAGGGCTGATAACATTGCAGACCTTTCTTTGGTTCCCTCTCAGACTGTAAATAAAAACACTGTCGATCAGGTCTTTGAAGGAAATATTAAAAAAAATAATAACGAGTTTCATCAATCTGTTATAATGAATATTTTCTATAATGGGCTCTATATGGGCTCTCTACCTTGGTACCTCAACTGCATGAATTTAAGCGTACTACCAGATTGGCAACTATATCTCCTTATTTTACTGTTGGAACAACTGAAGGCGTGTCGACTTTCCTTATATAGACAGTGCACTGATTTCGGTGCTTTCGATATACCTTGCTATTAGTCAGATGTACCCTTCTTAAGCTTAAAAATTTTCCTTGGGCGTCATTTTTTAATGTAATAATTACTAGCTTGAATCAATATCCAATCTATAAAGTTTACTTGAAGAATATATTGATGAGAGTCTAATTTCGATATTTTAATATCGCCTCTGGATGGACGGAGACAACCGATCATCCAAAGCACCAGAAGAGTTCTGTAATGCCAGAGAAGTTTAACGGTTCTTTAACTATCATCATCAGAGAATTTCCTGAAACATGCCAAGTCCATTTTAGAACTGGAGAACAATAATGTTGTCAGTATGAAAAAAAATGGATTATTCTTACCGTACACTTTCTGTCATCAAATAATCGATTGGCTCCCTTGATGTATAACCACGAGTTGATATAATTGTCCATATATGCGTAGTTATTGATCTATGATGAGCCATTCATTTCGCAGGACGCGTTTTTTACCCATTCTTATCTGTCCGCTGTTTTGCTGGTTATCATGCAACGGGACTTAAACTGAAAGAGAAGAATGTTAAAGTCTAGAAGACGTTAACAGGTTGGAGATACGACGTCGACTTCACAACGAGTAGCTAATGTTACTAAGAGTTTCATCAAAATATTATTTCAAATAGCTAAGACTTCAAATCAACGTAATTCCTCTAAAGCCCAATAAGCAAACAAAAAGTGAATGTGCGATCCTACAGGTATAGCCTGAGAGATATGGAGGGCTTACCTAGCTCAACAGGAAGTCACAAGGTCAGTACCGAAGTCTGGGGAAGGCCGTCTCAAGAACACGGGCACGCAAATACTGGGCGTGTCATGTATTAAAAGGGATGTGTATCTTAGAATACAACCTTCCAGAACAGAACAGATCCCCGGGGTGGTTATATTGGCATTTAGAACAGTTCCAAAGTGTCATGCAAAGAAATCGGAAAAAAATTGGGAATTGGGGAAAAACCTATCAAAGGGTGCAAGAAATCTAGACGAATCAACGGCCAGTTAACTAGAGGTGGTGTCTCAATAAATCACCGTGGAGAAAGCTACGGGAAAACAGTCCACTATCAATCCTAATAAATATCATGGCTCTTAACAATCAAATACATGTACACTACCCGAAAATTGTAGTATATGAGGATTAAACGTTATGTCCATACTAAATGTTGCGTGTAATATGGCTCCAAAGGCACACGAAATAAGATTAAAAAATCTAGGAAGATTTGAGACTGTTCACATGACAGTGCTGAGATTGGCGAGATGATGATGCTGAGTATTTGAGGAAATTTGTCCCTGGATTCTAACAGAAAACCACTTCTGTGTGCATGAAAACGCAAGAACAAAAAATAGAGACATGTATTTAACATCCTTCGGGTTTTGTCTTTCATCTGGAAAAGAAAACCAGGTTTTGATGCAGCGGCCATTCAATCAATTCTCCTCGTTTCGAATAGCAAAATTTAAAACATTGCTTCTGTCCCCGTAAGACAGAGATAATTAAAGACATTTTCGCTTTATGCCCACGTTTATTTTATTTTCATTTGCTTTTTATATTTAAATCCCTTTTCTAATTAGCCTTCTCCACAGTTTTTATATCGGAGTTGTCCCTCTTCTAAGCTGGCGATCACCTATGGCTTGGGAGTCCAGTCTACATTGGGGCAATGGATGGTGTGGATTTATACCTTTCCCAAGGATATTAATGCGAAAGTGACCACAACAGAATAGACCGAAATTTGAACACGACTCGCCGGCTTCACTCTCCGCGCCTATAACCTTTACGTGAATCATTAATTCATTCGTGTCCCCAAATTAATTCGTGTCCTCAAATTCATCACCCAACTTCTTTTTTGTGTCCCATGTTATAATAAGAATAAAAACAAATATCTTAATAGGTTCAGCTATCGCCCGGTTCACACACCTCCCCGGTCTTTGAATTACCGCCTTTCTGGGAGTGAAATGATTTTAAAAAATATGTCAAACTAGATAAAATATCTTTAAAGGACTGAAGAAAGTTTCGGCATGTATTTGATATCGAGCATTTATGTCTATTTTTTTATCGGCAAGTTTTTTTTTTTGTTTTTTTTAATTGATTGAAATTGACAAAAAAAAACAGCTAAAATTATTCTGGGCGCCATTTTATAATATTGACAGTCAGCACTTTAAAACAACAACGTTTACTTGTTTCAGGATTTATAATTCGAGAATCACTAAAAAGTAGAATAAATTTGGAAATATTGAGTAGATTGTCGTTTGAAAAGTGCTAAAGTTACATTTTTTTACTCTTCAAATTAATGGATTTAATTTTCTATTTTTTATACACGTCATTGTAAAATGCTTGAAATGACGAAATTAAAATATTATTCCGACTAAATAATTGACAAGCATTAAAATAATGAATAGAGTAACAGATAGTATGGTAGCCGATAATGATGACATTGATGATAGTATGGTAGCCGATAATGATAGTAATGATAACGGGATAATATCTGTAACAAAAAATGGAGAAAAAATATCTGTTGCCGCTACTATTAACTATCATCCTTTCTGCTATTCTGATCATCTCAATAACTCGACGAATCACAGGAATTTTCCCGATCTGTTTTGCGTTTTGAATGAAGGTGGATAGATCCAAACCAACGATTTTTTTCTCTCTTCTACTACTCTTCTCTTTCTTCTCTCTTAGGATATAAATTATCTTAGTCGCTCTTTTCTCTCCAACCGGCCGTTACTCTTTCTCCCATACTGTTTTTTTCTTTTTTTTTCTTTCTTTTCTTTCTCAATCAAATGATTTTCCTAGACGTTTCCTTTCTCACTGTCCTCTTCAATTCGCTTTCAAACGTTTTCTTCTTTTTTTTTTTTTTTTTTTTGCTAGGCTCCCCGTTTCGTCCAAATAATTTCCAATTCGGAAAAAAAACGTCTTCTTCCCACCCCCGAGTTGGACTGTTTCGATTTTCTTCTACAATGAAAGCTACTACTAAACCATCTGTAGCTATACTATTACCGACAAGAGTTGTTATACTATTATCAATACCGGTTCTTTAGTTTTTACCAATGATTTATTATCGTGGCTCAACTAGTAAAGCAGTTGATTCATTTGCCACACACTCCACTCATATGGTAGTTAAATTTGATTGTAAGCCAAGTGAAATTATCAGGATGTTCGACAAGTCTTTCATATTTCATACCTACAGCGATCAATTCACTTTTGTTTTCGCAATATCCAAACTCATGCCCTAGTAATTTACCGCATCTAGAACCCTAATTACTACCACCACTGGTAAACAATATTAGGGCAAGAGTTTAGCACATTCGTTAGAGCAGCGGATCAAGTAGTTTAAGGCTTTTAAACTTTCTTTGTTTTTTTTTGGGGGGATGTTTGTTTTTTTGGGGGGGTATAAACAATAGTCACACAGTGTGAATAATCCGACATTTTTTCCCTGACAAAAGTTGGGAATAATCAACTTATAAAATCTACGATATCTAGGGCACAAAAATGAACGTTCCATTACAACTGATTAGAATAAGAACTCGGCGTCTAATATCGTATCAGTTAGATAGCTAACACTGTCTTCTCGTCGAGGCTTCAGAACAATGAGACACTAAATGAAATATGGCAGGACGAACTAATGCTATTCTATTTTAGTAAACAAACCAAGAGAAGTGACATGGTGTGGGACAAATTTCATTCACCCGGGTTAAATTTATAATCCACCCGCTTATTCGCTTCAGTATCGTTTCGATTTTTAAACAAAAAGTCTCTCTCTCTCTTTCTCCCTCTCTCTCCCTCTCTCTCTCTCTCTCTCTCTCTCTCTCTCTCTCTCTTTCTTTCTACCATGTGGCTACATGGCCTGAAGATGGCTTTCAATCATGAAACTCATTGACCACTCGGTGTTAGCTTGAGTATATATATATATATATATATATATATATATATATATATATATATATATATATATATTGTGTATTTAGGCAGCAATCCCTCTTTTATATATGTTTCGTTAAAGACGACTGACAAGCTAGAATTGTAGGGATGTTTTATTTTCCAAATACGGTCAGCACATCGTGGCCGTCTTCACAAATAATGTTACTGAGTGTTGGGTTTTTCATTTTTATTATTAGGGCTTCCATTATTTTTAATCTCTTTCTTACATGTGGATGAGGTTATTATGCTTGTATTTTCTACTAGTATGTTTCAGTTAGTTTATGTTCGGCTTGTGCGTGTGTTTAAATGAGTTCTATTGGAGTTGTAGTCGGATAAGTGTAATGTATGTCGTCTGGATAGGCATATAGTAGTGTGACCGATGTAATTATTTATGAATTCGGTTTGATCAGGAACACAATTCCTTAAGGCGCATTTGGACACTTGTATGAACCCATGAAAAATTAAATAAAAATCTTAATCGCAGTACATTGTCAGTCGTCTTTAACGAAACATATATATATATATATATATATATATATATATATATATATATATATATATATTTGTACTGAGTCTCCTGCCGTGTCCGACAGCAACTCAGGACTTAGAACCGAACAGCCTGACTACTCGCGCATGTGATTCGATTATAGTGGTGAAGCTTTGTGCAGAATCGGCCACACTTTTCGAAGGTGCCGAATACAGAGTACTGGTGCACATATTGGGTCACTGGGTCCCCAAACGATCTCCTCAGGCTTTGAATTCAGAGTTGTCCTTCTCATAGACTGATTACCTGCCAAGGCTATCAGTCCCGGTCTGTCCTGCTATTTACCCATAGTCGGGATATAAAAAGGGTGCGATAGGTAAATTGTCGCCACTTTATATTCTTAATTTCGCACATTCTCGTTGTTCGTCTTTGATTCTGGCGTATGCACAGTATAGCAGGGTCAGTGAGAAAAAGACTACCATTTTGCAATTCACTCTACCAGAAATTCCGAAACCATATGCTGGACTGCTTGGCATTCATGCCGGAAGCTGTAATATGAACATTTCAGAGTGATTGGGTATCAATCTGAAGACAGTGCAGAGAATTCGGAAAGGGTTGGATGAGTCTAATGGTGATTATGAAGGTGTTTGGAGTGATCACTAATGATAGCGACGTTATGTCTCCATTCATCTTCCCACGGGGCTTCAGATACAACAGAGACCTGCATCAAGTGCCTTGAGGGGGGCAGTGCTGCTCTGGGTAAAGAGAGTGGCTGCTGGAAGATCCTATGTCTGGCAACAGGACTCTGCACCACGCCACACAAGCAGGAGAATCCAGTCATTTCTTCGACCACATCACTCCTTACACCTGGCCACCCAATTCCCCATACTGCCGTCTCTGTGGTTATTATGTGTGGGGCGTGGTTGATCAAGAGACCAACAAAACTCTTTGTAACACCAAAGATGAACTGAAGGCAAGGATCATAGCAACATTCACCACCTTAAATAAGGAGACCATCTAGAAGAGTTGTAGGAGATTCCGAAGTTGTCTGGAGGCAATGGTCATTCACACTTGCACTTCCATCTATTGTCGACGCACCCTATTTTCTGCCCGACCGGGTATGTGCAGGTGGTGTAATTGTTAAAAGTTCGAAACGTGAAATCGGCGGGCCGAAATCGTTACATTCATTTTCGTACTAATACCATTGGGAAAGGTATCAATCCATCTCCTCTCTCCCCTCCAGACATGGGTTTAATAGAAGCGTAGACTGTTCTCTCTAGCCGTGCTTAGCTACCAGTATATGAGAAGGACAACACTGACTTCAAAGCTGTATGTGACTCTGGTGGCACACATACTTAAACTGTAACTAACTTAGCATATTTGTTGTATAAAACATAGGCTGACTCTGTGGGTATTGAAGAAACACCAGTGGGCCTGAGTGGACGGGCATGCTCAGATTGCAGTTTGACTTTACGTTGAAACAACTCTGAAGATATAGTTGTGTTTCTGGAATTCAACTTCATAAGGCTAGAGGTCATTCTAATTCAATCCCATTTTTTTAAAAAAAGCCTTTGTTTTAATGCACCGAATCGAATACTGTCAAAAGTTTTAAGTTTCATATCGAATACCGTTCTGAAGAGGTTTGATTGTAGTTGTTTATCTTCGAGAAAAAAAAAAAAAACTTTCCTTTCCATTCAGAAACTTATAATTAACTTACAGATCGCGGCATCTATCAGAGAAATGAAATTTAAATTTTTATTTTTGGATTATTCCAAAATTTTAACACATCATCTGATAGCTATTAATATCAATAACTGAGCATAAATAGTTATTAATTAAACGAATTAGTAATTAATGTATAATATTATGCACAACTACATGTAGAAGAATGTCGTTTATGATAAAGGTTAAAAAAATAACTATAAATATGTAAAAAAAATGCGTATATCGTCGAATTTTTTTCCATAATATAGCTATTTGTGCTATGTTATAATGCTTATTAACTAAACAATAATAATATTTTTAAACATTAAAGTATATTTAATCACATCTCCCTAATAGTTGTCGTGTTATTTTAACCCAATATATTTTTTACATTATTCGGACTATTGTCCTCATCTTTGTCGCCATATTTATAAATATGGCGACAAAGATAAGGACAATACTTCGAATAATGTAAATAGTGTACATAATAGCTCATCTCAGAAATATAGACAATATATTTTTATCTACATAATTTTCATTTAACAGAAACATGTGCGGTAGCCGCGAATCCGTCAGGCCCAGGGGTACCGTCCTAGGGTTAATTTTAGTGTTAAGTTCGTGGAGATACTGGAACATTCTCAGCTTGACTCATTTCCCAAAGATCTGTTTTACTTCTATGTTGTTTGTGTATTTTTTTTTCTTTTTTCCATATTTGGTCAGGCAGAGAACACTTAAGTAGTTACTCAGAGTTGGAGCTAGAGCAAAGAGGAGTGATAGAGGAAAGGATGAAGAGAAGGAGAGGGGATAGATCAAGGCATCTGGAGATGTCAATTGACATTTGAATAGTTGGAGATTATAGCTATCAGGGAAACAGAAAGAGGGGAGGGAGTTCCACAGGCGAGAGGTGTGAGACATGAAGCTATTGGAGTAGAAGAGACGGCTACATTTAACAATTTCGACAGTGAAAAGGTGTAAGCAAGATGCCAGCCTAGTAGAACGCTTAAATTCATGAAGTTTGGGTACCAGAGAAAGCAGCTCCTCGTATCAGCAGAAACGAGTTAATAAAAACAAAATATGCAGTGATGGGGACTTTATTTAAATTTAGACAAATATCAGACGCTTATGCATTCAATCCTCATCGTGTTCCCAATCTTGTAGTCTTGTACTACAGGACATTTCATAACTGTCAATTCTTCTTTTATATGCCACATCTCTTCCTACCATGAGTCATTATCATTGTAGTTGTAAGGATGGACACTTTGATGGTTATTTCAGCTCTTGTAAGAGAGGCAGCTACGGTTAGTATAATAATAGCAAAAGTATCAGCAACTACTGAAGTGTTCTCTGCCTGGCCAAGTATGGAATAAAAAAAAGTATTTGGTGTTTTTTTTAAATTTATTTTAGTCTGTACAAATTCCTCGTCTTTGGCTTAAATATAATGAGAGAGGATCGATAAACCGATATTTTAATTACATTTCTTTTTTTTTTCTTTTTTTTTTGCCACACACACACATACATATATATATATATATATATATATATATATATATATATATATATATATATATATATATATATATATATAAAAAACTCAAACACTAATATTCCATGGTTATTTTTTCCGTAAATGCGCGTGAAACGCGCCTTCGTTAGACTCAATTTAAAGATTAATAGCCTTACTATTTAATATTCAATGAGAAACAAAATTCTCATAAAATATTCCTGACAAACCAAACGAATCAAAAAAATACCTACTAACTCTAACTACCTACTAACTTTATCACAACTACAATCGAAAGGAATTTCTCTAAAGTCAACGTAAAATTGGTCAAACTACAGCTAAAAATAATCAATAAAAAAGAAAACAAGCCAAAAGGAATTTACTCTATCAAATGCAGGATTTGCCAGAAAGGATATATTGGAGAAACCTCAAGAAGTTTAAACAAGAGACTATATGTACACAAAGAGACATTTTAAAACAATTGATATATATATATATATATATATATATATATATATATATATATATATATATATTTTTTGAATTAAGAATACATTATATATATATATATATATATATATATAGCATAAAGTATTAATGAATTTATTATATATAGTGTTTTAGAATTAAGAAGTTATATATTTATGTATATATATACATATATATATATAGATAGATATATATATAGAGAGAGAATGAAATATCAATGTATTTATTATATATGTATATTATATATATATAGTGTTTTAGAACTAAGAACATATATATATATATATATATATATATATATATATATTGTCTGAGAACTAAGAATCTCTATCTATAAAAGAGAGGATGTGTGTGCGTGTGTGTGTAACAAATGCACGGCCGCAATTTTCGACGGATTTGCACCAAAATTTACATGCACATGCTCTAAGTTAGCGGGAAGCCCAAGACCAACTTTGCATTTCCCAACTCGCATCGATAGTGGAAATAATCGATTTTTTTCATGCTTCTACGGCAGTTTTCATGTAATTTTCGGCCATTTTCTACTGGCCAGAGTGAGAGCCTATAGCTGGCTGCCACGAATAGGCAGGAAGATTCTAATGGCCAGCGTGTGATCTAACAGCTGACTGACACGAATGTTAACTAGCATGCTAGCATGCAAAAAATCGATAGCTGCATTCGTCACAAGTGGGAAAAATTTAAATCTGCATGGCAGTTTACTCCAATTGGCTCATTCGCTTGCTTAAACTCAACGTTGATTCTGATTCCGCAGAA